TCAAATAATTGTTGAATGCTTAATTTATTTATTTACGTTTGTTTAAACATAGGAAACAAATAGCAATTGAGAACGAAACGATTTTACATTTTACGCTGTTGGGAAAGGACGTCTAAAATTTCAATTAGAAAAAATTGAAATCGTTAACATCGATGGTAACATGAAATTTGGATAGAATGTTCCATGACGAATCAGTCAATTTCGTAATTAAATATTCAATTCATCAAATTAAAGATTCAAATTTGTTCCTGGAATTTCTAGAAATGTTTAACAGTGCATATCACAAATAATACCGACAAAATATCAACAGATATTTTCGGAGTTCAATAAATTTTCATATAAAAAGGCGATTGGATTTTTCAAAGACGTTCCAGCAATTCCAAAAAATCTCTGAATACCTAAAGCAAAATAATAAATGATCCTCATAAATCAGTTTTGTAGGAATCTCGATAAAACTTTTTGGTGAAAATTCTTTGCTAACGAATTATGTTATGGAAATATCCTGCATTCACTCATTTTTATAAACGGAGATGAATATTCAATCAAAATGACGCATCTTCTCCGGAATTCCAGAGTCAAACGTGAATTTGTTCAGAATTCTTTCTCAACTGACAGGAGAGCCTCTTAAATTTTCGAATTCACTTCCGCAATGTGAACGAGTTACGAGTTCCATAATTTTGACTGAATAATTATTAAAGATCAATTTTTCCACGAATTTTTTTCAATAAGAAAATGAAGATTTTCATTCCACCAGTCTAACTTCGAATTCATTCGACTCTAAATTGAATCCTCCGATGGCTCCTAACAATTTCATAACGACTGTTACAATTAAAAAAATATTCTGCAATCATTTACCCAAACGAAACGTCCAAATATCCCCGAAGATTTCGAATATGTCATTCTCCAAATAAAAAGCAAAGAACATGATTCGATAAACCCGAAGACCTCTGTAAAATCACCCTTTTAAATAAAAAATCCATCAAATATACTTGAGTGAACCCCTCCAGAAGATCTCTAGATTGTAATTCGTTGGACGAGCACATTCCATGTGGACTCGGCTGTCAATTGATTTTTAAATCTTCCCACATTTACCCCATTTTCCATCACTATTCAACCCCCTCCAATTACCAAAACAACAATAAATAAAATAAAAACACATCCCTTACCTTCTTAACTTGAAAATGTTCTGAACGCAGATTCTCGATGATTTCCTGGTCTGGTTTAACCTGTTGAGCAACAGACGATCGAAAACCGTCGAGAACCCCTTTGATGGTAAATTTCTTCATCTCGACGATATAAAAAAAATTCTATTTATCTCAAATATAATCCTGACATGTGATTAATTAACAATAAGCTCAGTTAAACTCTACACGCCACAATTGGGCCATTGATTTGTCGTTATTCTATTCATTTTTTATCCTCAAATCATATTTCAGTAGTAATTAACGATAATTCAAGCATCTTCATTATTCCCTGGCTTTTATTTATTTTCACGTTTGAATGAGCAATCGATATATTATGACACTCGATACGTCGTGAGGTCGATGAAAAATCGGTTTACATTTTGATTATTTAACGTCAGTTTACGCCACAACCGTTTTTGTCAATCGATTAATTGATGTTTTTCATGGGCTTTGATACATCTCTGT